AAAGAGCTCTTTTGTGTTGGTGTGTGTGTGTGTGTGTGTGTGTGTGTGTGTGTGTGTGTGTGTGTGTGTGTGTGGTTGGAGGGGGGGTATGCACGTGCATCTGTGTGTGTGTGTGTGTGTGTGTGTGTGTTGATAAAAAGCGCCACATCCTTGGCTCCTGGGCTGTTATTTGTGAGGATGTTTGGGACCAAGGTTTTTTTTCAAGGGGAGCTTCAACGTCATTCGTCTGTCTGATGTTTTGTCCGCTGGGATGGAATGTCAAGGGCAACCAGATGGTGCATGATTCATAGCAAATGCAAAAAAAAAATGTTTTTGGCTTTAAAAAAAGAGAGAGAAAAAGTTTTCCAAGGTTGCAAGCAACTTTACAGTCATGAAACTTCCACCACCGTAAGGACTAATTGTTTATTCACAATCTGTTATTTTATAAAGGTGTTGAGTAATCGTTTGCGAATTCTGGAGTTGTATGGTAGTACCTTCCAAGTTTTTTTTTCTGTCAACAAGGTTATTGTTTTGTATTCGTATATCTACTTGCAGTATATCTTGAAGGGTTATAGTGCAGATTAGATGGAACTAGGATTTACTGAAAGAAGTGTCCAGTAAGTGTATGTGCAGTATATAGATTATGTCAGCATGTTGTGTTGCTTTATTACATTAAGTGTTCCTCTGAGGATGTCTGGGTGGATCTTTCTTCTGACTGACGTCACATGATGAGTGCATTGTTTGTACATAACAATAATAGCGCATGCAGTGACTTCTTGCGGCCGGCGTAAATCAGGCGTGGTCTCCGGCTAATGACAGATAATAACCTCGGCGATCCCCACCACACGTCCCAAACCGAGCTCTCTACTCATTTGGAAGTGATCTGAGGCTTGAGGTATGGCTAAATAAAGGCAGCTGGCCACCAAGCATATGTGAGCTTTGGTCCCACTTAGGAGGCAGGAAACAACCGCTCTTCAAAAGTCTGATTTTCTTTGCAGGGATAACTTGCTGGAAAAGCTTCCAGAAGGTGAACATTCCTTCTTCCCATCCTGCTGTCAGTGTCATCTCAGGCCTGCGTGGCTTCACTGCTTGTCTGGGCTTGCAGTAAGCATAAGCCCTCCCCGTCACATCGCCTCTACCTCATGCTTGGCTAAGCCCCATCTTGGACCTCTCACCGTTTATTTTAAGTACCCCGGAGGGTGTTTTTTTTCCTGTTTGGAGCCCAGCTATGCGGACCCAAAGAGGTGGTGTCACCGCGGAGGATCATCATCAACATTCAGGTCATCCCATTAGCTCCGACGCACTCCTTATTTTGGCCACGCAGTCAGGGATGCCCCGGCATCACCTCTTGGATTCAGCGAGTCATTTGAGATGCGTCATGCTTGCGTCTGTCTTCTCCAGTCCAGGATGTATTACAGAGTACAGTAATATAGATGTATCTCCTATGTAAAAACCCATTATTATTAAAGGCATAAACTCATAACATTCTGCTAATACAATAATCATTTAATTTTAGGATAAAAGTCCCCCCGCCTCTCAATCAACTCCAAAGTGTTTTTTTGTTTTTGTTTTGTTTTTTTCGAACACATTCAAAGATAAGCTTTGGGTATTGTGTTAACATCTGTAGGAATTGTGACATCCACCCTTTTAAACTATATTCTTTTTCCCGGAAACTGCAACTTTCTCTTTGTGATAACACGTTTTTGTAAGAGTACAAATGTATTAGATTTTTTAAAATGTACTTTTTCTTGTTATATTAAAAAAATATATATGTAGTTAGCATATTCATTTATATATGGTCTTATTTTGTAATATTGCAATTCTTTCATAGATTTAATCCAAAAGCTCAAAGAATACGGTGAAATCAATTGTATTACTAGAAAGTTTAAAACAGCAGAATCTTTGTCCAAACATCGCCACTTTATTCAAGCAGTGACAAATTTCCATAATTTCAATTCAGTTTCATTTTGTTTCAATTTTTCAAATACAGATTTGTTGTTGAATCCTCGTGATATAAAATTTAAGTTTTATGCGCGTACGTTTATTTGTGGATCTCATAGTATTCCTGTAACTTCATCCTCCTAACATGAAAACTTTTTCAAATTATATTACACCTTTATTCTTGCTAACATTACTTTTAAAAGATATATGTTTCTTCATTACTAAATAGCTGTGTTTTGTAAAGTTGTAGTTCCTATACTTAGAGCCATTATATTGGAAGATGACCTTATTTAGCTTGGAACCCGTGTGGTGAGAAAGAGCCAAGTGATATTTAAGAAGTCGCTGATGGTGTAGTGGTACCCTCGCCGGACTTGTGCTTAGGCAGCGTGGGATCGGTTCCCACTCGCTGACGGTGTGCATGTGGGTGTGAGTGGTCGTTTGTGTCTATATGTGCCCTGTGACTGACTGGCGACCAGTTCAGGGGTTATTACACCTTCCCCCCTGAAGTCAGCTGGGATTGGCTCCAGCAACTCCCCGTGACCCTCATCAGGATAAGCGGTGTTGAAAATGGATGGATGGATATTTAATAAGTGAGGGGATTGCCTTGTTTAAATATACACATGAGGTGCTCCGAACGCAATGACATCCAACACGAGACTTTTTAATGGCTGGCTATAAACACCTTAGGCATCATGTCACACCTAACTTGCTTTCGACTTATTTTTCTATTCAAGGCTGCTTTTGCCTTTAGCACCTCAGCGTGGACTGTCGGCGTGTGCCTTTGAATATTAATCGAATCTAATAAATTTTGTCCCGCGACACATTGTTAAGCAAGGGAGTGGGCGCCATCCAAGCCGCCAGTCGTTTTAATTTTGTTTTTGGCCTCGACCTCGCTCAGGATTTGGGATTCCGACAGAGACTGGGATTCTTTCCCCACAAGCACTTCTACTTTACAGAGAGAGTAAATGTAGTAAAGGGTCTGTTTTCATTTCACCCGATTTCATTAAAGTTTCACACGGCCTATAATGTTAATGAACTAATGGGGTTATAAACCCTGCAGTTAACGTGCGCGCGCGCGCACACACACACACACACACATAAATTGTCAAACTTGCTCTTCCGTAAGCACTTGGTTTAGGGACCAAAAGGAATCAGGGACTGGTAGCTCGAGAGTTCCATTTGCTTCCAAAGCACTGCTGAGGTGCCCATAAGCAACTTAATGCTCTGCAGTGGTGGATAATTCTCCATCGACTTGGCGAGAGAACCAGGGGTCGTTGGTTCAAGACCCACCACGGGTCCAAAATGGAAATCTGTCTCATTGCTGAAAAGATATTGATTTGCGTTGAACCAACCAACTGCTGTGCTGGTGGTACATCCCTTTGGACTTGGCAAGGGGAAGGTTGTTGGTTCAAGACCTACCATAGACTAAGACATAAAAATATCTCTAGCTCATCAGAAAGACAGACTTTTGGCAAGGGGAAGGTTGTTGGTTCAAGACCTACCATAGACTAACTAAGACATAAAAATATCTCTAGCTCATCAGAAAGACTTGAAGACCAGAGGGTTGCAGGTTCAAGACCCATTGTGGAAAAAGAGAAAATTGGGTCTGGTTGTGGGAGCGCTGCTGAATTACTTTTGAGCAGCACAAGGACATTGTTAGAACGTTGAAGATTCCAGTTGGAGACTCCACTTTGCCGAGCACTGCCGAGGTACCCTTGATCAACCAATGGTGGGTTTTGCTTATGTGGCTCGTATGTAAGAAGTTGGCCTGGGATACTGGAAGGTGTCAGGCTGGGGAACTTTTGCATTCAAGAAATGTAGAATATGTTGGAATGATTGCTGGAGACATGACTGATCACTTCCCAAGGATTCCAGAGGTGCCCTTGAACAAAGCACCAACCCCGCATTTCGAACTTGATATGCATGTTGCGGTAGAATGATCAGACTCGAGTTTGTTCTTCCATCTCTCATCTCCACAGGTGCTGCTTCTGTTTTCATTTCACAGTTACGCTTTCCCTTGACAAGAACCCACCTCCTAGCGTGCCAGACGTTTATGTGCTTCCGTGTCTGAATGCGTGCGCGTACGGTTGTATTGTCTGTGTCTCTTTCTCAACCGTGACACCCAAATGAGGGCTCAGTACAGATGTTGTGGCAGGGCCGGACCCTATTTCAGAGGCACA